ATTCACTCGAAACAAAGGGTTACTGGCTCCGTTATACCTACTGATCGAGGTGGATGTGAGGGTGGGGGAGAGAAGTGACTGCCACAGAGCTGTTACACTTAAGCCTTCTGGAACCTCAAACACCAGATTATTCCAGGAGTCAGAGCCTGTAATCGAAATCACTCTCTCATGCTCAAAATGAAGGGCACGAGATGATGGTACTTTTAAAGCAAGTCAATGTACAAATGACAAATCAAAGATATAAAAACACATGTTACGAGAAAAATTTCAATAGTGAGAAGAAACACAACTGGAAAACTCTAAGTAGTTATCAGTACTTCACAGAAATCTAAGTATTAGATTAATTAATTTCAGAAAGCCTTTTAAAAAGTCTTTCACTATATACGGGACCAAGAGGATACCTGGCTAAGCACACTAGCTCCAGATAGAAGTCTTCCCCCTCTACCAGCAATGGAACCGTGGGCACTCATTTAAACATCCTATGCCTCAGGTTCCTGAACTGAAAATGGGAAAATATAGAACAGGGTGATAGAAGTGCTTTTGATACATCAAAAGCACTAAATGAAAGTTAACTATTATTACCTCAACTATTAAGATGGATCATCCTTATTATTACATTGGAAATAGAATCCTCATGTCACTCAGCAGACTGAGGATACACATTTCTGAATGTATAAATATGTAACTATGTGAATAAATGTCATAGGTTAGGCTCTCACAGGAAATACAATATATGAATACCGATGCTGCATAATCCTTTGAGAGAATGTGATTATCAATGTTTGCTAAAAAAATGTTTTTAAATGTCACTTCGGTCCAAAAATTATGAAAAAAAATTACACAAAGTGCAGTTAAAAAATATGTAACAGATAGGGCTTTTCAAATTGTTGCTCCAGTGTTATTTATAATACAGACTGAAAATCAACTAACACAGGTTTATTAAATGCCTGTGGAAATGACTGTCAAGTTTCAGAGTATGAGCATAGTTAAATGCTAAGCTTCAGGAGGGCAGGATGGTTTCCTTTTTTATCTGTTTTGCCAATACATAATAAAAAATCTAACACATATTAGATCCTGAGATGTAGGCAGGAAAATGAAAACCAAAAAATCATTTTTCTCAATATTACTTCTAAATGCAACGTTCACATTTTCATTCATTTTATATAGCTTTTGCTACTTGAAAATAAAAATGACAATTCCTGCTTGCTCTGTGTAGGACTTGGGCTTGGAGGTACTTTTCCCCAGGTGAGAGATAGAAAACAATGAAACAGAAGACAATCCAGTGCCTTACAAATGTGAAGGCTGTGATGATGTGTGTGTGTATACACACAGGTGTGTGGTGGGGAGGGCTGGTAAACATGCACATATCAGATGAGAATCTCTCAGGAATATTTGACCTAAACATTTTCAGAAGGAAGGCATTAGGCTGGCAGAAATAATAACTGACTTTTTACTTATGGTACTTTCAACAAAATGAATCTATCCTCATATTGAAGGGTTGGGGGGGGGTGGGGTGTGTGTGTGTGTGTGTGTGTGTGTGTGTATGTATGTATGTATGTATGTATGTATGTATGTATGTATGTATATACCCAGTATTTTTAAGGTCAATTTCTAAAACTTCAAGGAAAACTAAAGTCAAAATGAAATGTTTCATTTTAAGTCAAAACGTGTATTTTTTCAACTCCCAACTGACCTCCCGAATCCATACTCTCCAAGTTCTCATGACCACAGGCTTTCCTGTCCCCGAGTCAGTCTTCATTGTCTGCCTTACCTGCAGTGCAGAATACAACCTCCGACTTACCTAACCGCACCCACTGAAAGGAGCAAGAGCAACACAAGGCCCCACCTCAGACCTCTAACAAGCTAGGCGTTTCTTATGTCTTAGAACATTTTACAAAAATAAACAAACATGTGGTACCAAAACTTAATCAATGGATGTCAATCTATGTGGGCAGACTTATGACAGGAAAGCAGTACCAGAAATAAAGAAAGGTCTGAGTGATAAATTAAACCACATGCACATGTATGGAACTTCTGCAGCTGGAGAGAACTTCGTAAATATTATCAAAGAAAACATTACTGCACCAAAACATTATGTATTCATTTTTAAATCAGCACTTTAAAACGTATCACTGGGAAAGGACTTTGGGGTCAGTCGCTAACCAGCATTTTGACTTTAATCTCCAGGGACACTGGCTCCTTCATCTGTCCAGAGAGGAGTCTGGGAAAGTAACACCTCCTAGTTCTATGATTCCAAGTCCAAAATGGACTTCTGCTTAGGAGTCTGAGACAACCTTCCTAAGAGCATCGGAGGCAGGGCTTGTCAGACACCACAAGGCAAATTCCTGCTGGCTCCCCCTTCCCATTCCTTCCTGGCTACTACTCTGCAAAGGGAGGCTATTGCCCACAGGGTGGACATTCTGCTCAACATAATCTTAGGGGATCCTGTAGCCAAGCTCTTAATGGATAGCAAAATGTGAACCCTGAGTTGTGTGCTGGAAGTTCTTAAATGAATGAACCAAAACCCCACAGGGGGTAAAAAGGTCTTGACACTTAGGATTTCTTGGTGTCGGGTCCTATTTTGTACAAGACAGAGACAATGTTTATTTGCTATGCATTTCTCACCATAGTATCTTCATCACCAAATCTTAGCCACAGGAGAAAGAAAGAGTAAGTTTTGTCAAACTTAGTATATATTTTGGGCTTAGGCCTTAGAGAGCCTATATTTCTCATCTTTAACTAATAAGTTATGACAGAAAATAAAATAAAAAAGAAATGGAAAATAGTTCATTATTAAAACATTCTTAATTGAATATCACATTCATGGAATTTATTCTAGAGGAAGAACAGAAGATGATGTAGCAGGATATAAAATAAGTCCCTCATTTATTGGGCTGCACTTTTTTCATAGTATAAATATTAAATTAATTGCAAACATTTGCTGCCACTGCTAAACTGTGCAGAATTTTTTCAAAAGATTTTTTTAAAGAAAAGATGACTGTAATTACAACTGGTGTTGAAAGTACAGCTTAGCTTCACCACTGAATGACTGCAGTAAAGTCTCCAGATACACATGGACGCATGTTCTTCTAAAGGCCTCTCTCCAGAAATTCACCAAATATATGTCTCCAAAACTAAGTCCCAAATTTCATTTTGTCATTCGGTTTAATGTTATAATTGCCAGTATTCAATTCATTTCCCATGATAACATTAAGTAAATTCACAATTATATTTATAAGCTACAGTGAGGTGGAGTTTATTGGCTGAATGCTGATGTCATTTAACAATTAGTTCTCACTGCCTATATCGATAAATACTTGTACCCTCTTCTCCAGCTCACAGTAAATGCCTTAAATCTTTGCCTGAACTTACTTCCAATATCAATGGGACACTTAGTAACATGCAGATACATGAGCTGCCTATTCTGGGTGTTTCTACAAGTATTAACTCTGAATTTAAAAAAAGTTTATTCCTAGGACATTTCAAATTTTCAAATGCTAGTAACCAAGTAACATGTTATTTGGAGTTATCTGCAAAACCCAAACTCCCAGAGGTAAGAGTCACCTGCTTCATTATATCATCCTCATTGATTTAACTGTGTTTAATTAATTTAAATTACTTTATTGGATGGGTATAAATTCACATCCTTTCTACTCCAAGGGTGAGAGAGGAAGGGTAGAAGCAGATGAGCTAAAATGACAAAAAGAGTTTGCTCTGAATTTCAAGAAACTCATACTTAACAATCCAGAGGATATTTTACCTGTGGCTAACACTCACCTTAAAAAAGCATAGAAAGTCATCATTAACTATAAACTTAATTCATTTGCTTCACTCCTATAACTGCTAACAAATATCAAAGCAAAGCTGATAGACTGTAACGCAGCAAACCTGAAACGCATGGAGTTCCCATGAAAAGGGAGCACGAAAGCTCACAAGCTTCCTTCCAAAGGCGCCCAGTACCTTCATGAGCATCATTTTAAGACTACCTCAACTGCAGAAATGTTTACAGCAGTCATACGGCTCAAGTTCAAATGACCAACAAGACTAACATTCAGAATTACATTTTAAACTTGAATTAAAAAAAACAACTACCTAAAAATCTAGTTAGATCAGCACTTTAATTATACTAAGTCATGGAATGACCTCACACTGCGTTTGATGGCTTTAGACCACGTCTACGCAGTGACCACACAGGCAGCCCACGAAAAGCAGGTTCGTAGCACCTTTGCTGCTTTTTTTTTTTTACCTGAAATTAGCTGAGCACTATCAAAAATGTTTGGTTTTACATTTAGAAACAGGGACAGTCTCTAGCTACAGTTTTAGGTGCTCTCCATCAAAATTCATTCTAAAAAATCAAGCACTCGTTTGAAAAACCCCTGGTGGTGTAACAGGCATCTCGGGGGGAGGGGGGAAAAGGTAAACCAGTGCCCCCAAACTGGTGAGAAAATCCTAACAAACAATAACCACTCAGCCTTTAGTTACAGGGAAGAGATTTCTATTCTTATTTTTGTAATTATTTTTACTCACTGCTCTTTGTTAATTTGTGTTATTTTTGTAATGAACAAAGTCTCGGGAAACTGCACTCTCATTTTTATTTGGGCAGCATGACCAAGGTTCCCACGCTAACGCTTACAGCCCATTCACCGAAGCCTCCTGGAGTCGCCGCCTTTCCTGTCCCTTGAACAGGGCACGCGGCCCTCGGCCCTCGGGAGAATGCAGCTTCCAGGCTCGGAGCGCTCAGAAGGGGAAGCGAAAAATAAGCTGGCAGAGTCTTCTGCTGAGCTGTTTTTCCTTCCCTCTTCTCCCGGGGGAGGAAAAGTGTAAAGGCTCCGTTCAGATGAATCGGGCATATTTTTTAAAGTCACCAGTGGTCAAGCCACTTTGCATTTCTGGCGGAGCCTCGCTTCCCATACCAGTTGCTTTCGGCGGCGGAGCCCCATCCAGCCTCAAACCAGGGCCGCCGTGAGGTCTCATTGTTTCACACCCGCTCTGCTAAGTACCTGCGAAAGGGGGCACTCCTTGGCCAACGAACTCTGGTTCATATCTTTCAGCAAGTCCTTCAGAGCATTCCTCACTGTGGTGTGCGACCATTGTTCAGGAGGCAGGTCTTCGAGTTTGGGGCAACTATTTGAGACATAGATTAGAAAGGGGATTATTACAAGATTGCATCCCGCTGCAAAACATTCCTTTAAGACAGACAGATTTCATTTTGCGCATCAAACAGATGCATCTGGAGATTGCTCTCGGTCTCCTGATTGTTCCGATTAGTTAATTACTTTATACAACACATCTGCTGTATCGATGCATGAATTATACATCAGCTGCCTGTGGTGGCTATTTTTTCATGTTACTTCTACCTTCCTGCTCGGATGCGCTTGGGAAGACAATTTAAGGTGTACTGCTTTCTCAGGAGCCATCGGGAGGAGCATTAACGTTATTAACCATTTTCCTTTCGTGACTCTGTTCATACGAATTGAAACAGTAAAAAAATATATAAATAAAGAAGAGCGCGGCAATAGTGAACAAGGCATTCTTTCACAAAATGTACACAGATGGCACTGTTCATGATATGCAAAAATATTTTTCTCTTAAGTAAACTTTATGTAAAATGCCTTCTTGTAATGCATCATTTAATTGACTAAATATAAAAAGTCTTGTCTTTTGATAACCTGCACAAACCTACAAATTTGGGGGGTGGGGGGCTGCTTTTAAATTCTACACTGAAGTTAGGAAAATAAAGCAGAAAGGGAAAGGTGACAAAATCAGTTTTAATTAACCCTTCTGAAACACAGAGGAAATAAAAATTAAAGGTTGACCAGAGATGCTTTCATTAAAAAAAAAAAAATCAGGCAAGCAGACCCTTTTCCCCTCGAACACTGTCCTGACTCACCTGTGTAACTGAATTTTCAATGTGACCACATGATACACGTCCTGAAGCATATCTGCTACCGTAGCATCAGGGGCATCTGTCACGTAAGACAGTGGAACTGGATTCCACTTTCCAACCTGGATTAGCCCTATTCCAGATAAAGAGAATATGTCACTAAACGTTGTACCCTTCAGATAAGATATCTGGTGGGTCTTTTTTTCCTTTCATGGCCCCCACCACGAGCAATATTGTTATTTCTGTTTGAATGACTCCCTTCCCTCTAAAAGGCAGGTCAATGAAAATATTCATAGCTTAGCTTTCCAAATTGTGAAATTATGTAAATGACTGTCGGGTTGTTTATTATTTTGGAAATCAAACCCCATCAATAAAACCTATGCAGAGGCCACGTTTCCCTAACTTAACAGGAAGTTCTAATAAGACATAGCTGAACCAGTTCTAAATGGCTTTACGATTTAGATAAGATTCTCTATTGCAAAGGGAATCAGCATTGAAAAATACTTTACAGCCCATAAAACCATCAGAAACAGAATAAAAGAAACAGAACTAGATATTCAGTCATAAATGCAAATTGACTCTCAACAGTCCATCTGCTCAAATACGCTCCTCACTTCCTTGTGGGTCCTCAGTGGAGCAGATTATTAAGGTCAATAAGCATACTAATGATTCAGCTGAAGTAATTTAAAAAAAAAAAATCTACCTCGACATTCCACATGAGCAAAATGTGTGTTAACTAAACCAAACTGAATTAAGCCAATTTTTTAAAGCCACAGTCTATAAGGAACCAATGTAATACACAGGCTACAGTTCTTTGAATAAAAATATTCAGTGCTTTCTCTGCAAGGTAAACAAAGGATGCCAAGCAATTTTTCCAGCCCCACATACGCATTATTTACCTTTGGCCTGGGCAGCAGAGCTGTGCGAATAACCCAGAGACAGCAATGCCATTTCTATCAGCTGGTTGAAAAGCATGTCCTTTCTCACCAACACAAATTCCGCATGCTCCTCCTTACAGTCATATTCAATGGCGTTTTCATAATGTTCCACCACGCAAAAAACCGGTAGCATGGTTCCTATCAGAGAGACAGAGAGAGAGAGATGCAAACCAACAATCTTCAGAAATACAGTCTGGGGGAGGAAAAAAACTAAGCCATGAAAATAAATCTTCACAACAGTGAGAGAAGGGGAGAGACTGTTTCCAGGCAGACAGGGCACAGACACACAGGCACACACATGCAAACATACACAATCTTTTCTTCTGTAAAGTTGTAAGAGGAATATTTAAATAGAATGTGAACTTGGTCCTACAATAAGTCAGGCTCTGCTTTCAGTAAAATTAGTTAGTGCAGAATTACCTTTCTGGTCAAAAGCAATGCTGACGAGAGGGAAGTAAGTGTCTTGTCTGATCTGTTGTGAATGGTATACAGTGTGCAAATGTACCTCACTACAGTCATCTTCACGAGAACCAACTTCATGCTTCCTACAGGCTTTTGTTATATTAAATTTCTTGTTTGTGCCCAAACAAATTATCTTTGACTATAAAATTATTAGCCTTTTTCTTCCTTTTCAAAGATTTTACTTTAAAACGCTTACATAAAAGAAACACAAAACTTAACCAAAGTGATGCTCAAAATATATGATTTCAGTATATGCATAAAGTAGATAAATACGATTTATTTTCATGGCTACTCATTTAATCTACCTAAAAAAGATATCACAGTAACCATGTGTCTTTAAAATGAACAATCTTTTTAATAGTAAATGGGTGAACATGACAGAGAGACAAGGAACTTGGCCTCATCAGGACATGTTAGGATAAAGGAATCTGTGTAGATTTGATGTTCTCTCTTTATTTACTTTAATCTAATGTAGTACCTCAGTAGCCAGATGATTAATACGCACAGGCCACGCCAGTGTTAGAAAAGAGGCTTCCGGAAACTGAAATCACGGAATGCTGTGGCACTCAAGGTGTTTACAGCGCACTGCCAGCCTTCCAGTGATGAACAGAAAGGGGTTAAAAGCAGATGCATCTGAACTGTACTGTGGCAAACTGCCAGGAGGGTATCATCTTTACCATAAATGATGACAAGGGTTACTCTAACAGGGCACCCAGGATCCTCAATTAGTCCTGTAACATTAATGCCTCTATAAGCTCTGCCCTCTGGACTCGCAGAATCCTACCAACTTCTGAGGATGTCTAGTGCATGCCAGCCAGAGCTAAAAAAAAAAAAATTGGGATTTTCTACTAACACCGGAGATGCCCTTTAAAAATGCTCTATTCTGCGAACAAAAGCTGGCAGTAACATAGCTACATTTTTCTACATGTGCACCTTCACCAGGGCTTTAGTGAACTGTTCACAAGAGATGCTAGCTCTGAAAAACAAAAAAACAAAACAAAAAAACCTTTAGGTTTACTTAGAAAACTCACAAACTCATCCGGAGGTACCCAACAGGCTAGGCATAAAAAACAAGCCGTAGAGCTTGCCAATATTCTTGTCATTCATTCAGCTGTTTTATACCAGAGAGAGAACCCGTCAGGGATCAGAAGACGACTTGGGGAGACCACAGCAAATATAGCACTATACAAACTGGTGATTTCTTTCTTGGCTTGAAGGCACTGTAGCAAAATCTCTTGAACAAGTAAACAAAAACATTCAACCCCTTTTTGTTAAGCCACATCTCAGCCACAATTTTTATCTAGCACCTGTCAAACAGAAACCATGCACAAAAATAAGATTAAAAAAACAAAACACTAACACTAAAAGGCTTTCGTGATTTTGTTGTTTGAAATAAACAGAGAACCTTCTACAATTAAACTGCATTTTGAAATACGTCCCTACCAATGCAATGCTTTAAGAAAAAAAAATCCTTTGAGCAGGAAGTGAAATTACTGTTCTCTGGTTTCCCCTCCTGGTCCTGATGTCTTCAAAGAGTTGGGTTAGTGTGACAAAAACACACGCATTGATTTTTCCCCTTAAAAGATGATACAGACTTGTTCTACTACATGCTGTTCCTTAGACCTATGACATAACTGTAGGTTTTACAAACTACTGAAATATAGTGCATGTATTTTCAACTTTATTCAGAGGTACCCTGTCGGTAACTAAAGGTGGCTAGTGATAAAGTGACAATGGTGTCATTTCATTCCAAACCTAGCTGCTAAACCTTCCAGCAAACTGTCACAGTTGCCCTCCTGATATTGGGAGTAATGCTAAACAGGAGCCTACTCTGAACTGTCTGATTATTTGTGCTAGTGTTTGGAGAGACTTCCAACTACAGCAACTTCATAACCTTCCAGCATTAAAGGGGGAGTGCACTGGTCACTGCTGGATGCTAAAAATACCACATGATTTAAACCTGGAGGCAGTCTTAGAAGCTTTTGCTGAAGGTTTATGAGCCTGTGTAAACAGCACGTCTGCCATAAGGAGCAGTGAAGTCTGTAGAATCCTTGTCTAAAACTGTCCTGGCATTAAAGTTTGCTGTGCAAATATCACATAATACCAGAGACAGCTGAAATCTCCTATTTAGGAATTTATGGAACTTATATGTTTGCAGGCGTCAGAAAGTCTTTTTTATAGAGCCCCAGTGCTTCACAGTACAATATTAATGCACTCTGTTTGAAAAGCCGTAATAAATTATATTTTTAATGCTCTTACCCTGGCTTTCTTAAGATGCATACATTCTTGGCAAACAATCAATAAATAGGGTAATCATGAGTAGAGGCCAAAGAATTTGCTGAAGTGCTGTTTTTCCATTTTTAATAGATAAAGATCTAACAATACGGACTGCTGTGTCTGTTCATTTCAGGATCAATATATTCTTTGTTTTCGCCAAACCAAGGAAAAAATAAATGATTGTATGATAAATGTTATGCATCAAACACAATGAAATTCCTCTGCCTTCTAACTTTGTCTACTTAATATTCTTAGTTGCTAAAAGATGGCATTTTTAATCCTTTGCTTAGCAAATGTAAGGAAAATCTGAATCCTGTACACATTTATTCAGAGACAAAATAAAGACCATTACGAGGCACACACATTGTAACCAGCACAGACACTGCTTTACATAAACAACAGTGCTGAACACGGTCAAAGTTGTTAAACTTCACGAGTTTAATATAAAATTGGTAGAAAGGACTCACAGTTACATGTCCTCCCCTCATAAACTTGCCTCAATCTGCCCTTCCTTTATCAAAAATACCCAATTATAGCAGAAATCAAAACCTAGAATCATCAGGTTTTTCATGGCTAAACAATACCTTCGCTCTTAAGAAAACAAACCACAAAAATGACATCACAAAACTTTTACATCATATCACGTAAGATCTCCATGACCTCTGAAACTGCCTTTTACAATTAGCAATCTTATGAAAAAGTGAGGGTGGCACTCCCAACAATTTAAGTGTCTTCTTCTTAATCAGGGTGAGTTTAAGCAATAGCCACCTCCGTAGCCTCTACTACAAGAACAACTTATCAACGGAAGCCTCGGGTAGCTAAAGACCATTATGTTGAATTCAGTCCTTAGCATCCTCCATGCCCAATGATTCCAGCCTCTAGGAGAGGAAGATGCTCCACCCGAGCACAGAGCCTTCAGTTTCAAAATGTGCCCAACACTGCAGCCAGGGATGTAACTGACTTCACATCAGAGAGAGAATCAAGGAAAATAACCTACAAAGACATGGGTCTGCCTCTCCACACCCACACGAAGTGGCCTTGGGTAGACACAGGGCTCACAGCTTTCCAGGATTTGGCTCGGAAGTATTTACCTTTCCTAAGGTTGGTTTTCATCAGATGGCCCGAGTGTTTTAAAGGCACTCCCTGCATTTTTCCACCTGTACTCCCAAGCCTTCCTCTTCCTAGTGGGCTCCCGTTCTGCTCCAGGCGGGCAATCTTGGCTGGTGGACCCTTCGGATCGCTCACATTGTTAGACATTTCTGAATGTTCTTTCCCCTGAGTTGCCTCGTTCAAATGATCCATACTCAGTTACCCTCTAAAGATCACCTGCCAGAATTTAAAAAGAAGATGACATTAGAATTGGGTGGGTGGGAGTCTCTCTCTCTCTCCCCGTATTTGTATACATACATCATATAAATTTTTTACCCCTAGATTTCTCTTCACAAATATAAGGTATCTGTAAGATTACTCAGCTAGATATATAATATGATGCAGATGTTACTATGCTTCTAGATAACAGCATTCTTTGTCCATTCAAGGGAACAGATTCATTTGTGAAAACTGTACCAACACACATGAATAAAAGGTAATTGTGACCTACCAACAAAACTAAGTGGGGGAAAATGGGCTTACTTTTAAAACAATCACAAGTATAGCCAGAAAGAAACTAAGTTATATTTATAAAGTCCCAATTTTTAAAAATTAAAAACTCATTACAGAACAAACAGGAACACTTAAATTATCACAGTCCGAAATGTGCATTAAATTTGATGTAAATATTCATTAAACCTATATTTTTAACATATAGCTTTTATGAGAGGAAAAATGTATATATATTTTAAATAAATGTACATATTTTATAAAAAAATTTGTACATATATATGTATACACCACCCCAAAAGAAGGTAGCAAACATCTAATTTTTAAACTGCCCATTGGCTTTACAGGTTAATTTGTAGAAAAAGTTTCCTATTATGAAAGTTTCAAGAGTTACGTGACCTGTTAAAGGTCTAGTCAAGTCTTGGTGTGATTGGATCATTTTACCCCTAAACAAATGGATGTTAGTGGAGGAGTTCTTCAAATACTGAAGCATTAGGACTCATATGTTTTACAGTTAATATCTAGGAGTACATTGGTAATAGAATGCTCTTAATTTAAGTAGCAAAAAACCTGAAAATACTTTGTGATATAAGCATCAGATTCAAGTGCCAAACGGGCTTTTCAAAAAAAATCTTGATGATTTCTGTAAAACACAATCGCCAGTTTTTAAACACGATCTCAGTATGCAATGAAGTTAAACATCTTAACTTCAAAAAAACTTAGATAATTTTCAGTTGTACAGTGGACATCAATTTTCATTCAGTTTATAATAAAGCAATGAGTACAATATCCAAGTCACTTCTAAAATAGTTATAACGAGAGCTGATAAGAACAGGTGAGTGGAATTATGAACTTTCATAGTACTGAAAGTATTGGGCTTACCAATACTAAGGGGGAGGGATTATATTTAGGAAAATCAGATAGAATGTGATAATTACTACTTTCTTCCAGCTGTCTAGTAATTTGACATCTCTTGTACTTTTAAAAAATTATTATACTGGAGAAGCTATTTAGACCCAATTTATTGAAAGCCAGCTTATATTAGCATGGCTTTCCTATAAGCATATTTTTCTTCTGTTTAACTATAGATTACTTTGTCCATTATAATCAAGAAAAGAGGTGAATGGGGAGGAGGGAGCAATGGTAATCTGTAGGCTTAAAAGCAACCTTAAGAATGCCAATTGAGGAACTCTAAAGTTTGAGAAATAATGGCCATTTATCCTTGTACTCCAGGGTGGCACGCTGAGAACTAAAGGTTTACCGTTGATCGAGGTCCCATCTGTTTTTGGTTATGAGGTTCATTAACAATAAATGTGCCTCTTTTAACCACTTTTTATCAAGATTACTCTCCTCCATTATATTAAACTAAAGCCAAAATTAGAGAGCGATGATTATTAACTTATTCAAAACACTCTTTATAATGTTACATATGGATTATAATACAGAGCTGCTTTTTCTGAAATTAGTTGCCTTACCCTAGAGCAGAAAATGAATTTCAAAACATAAATACTTAAACGGTGGGGCAATTTAAGAAGAAAAAAAAAAAAGAGGAAGAAAAAAAAGTAGATTAACAGCATCAAAGTTAATGCTACAAAACATATTAAGTAGTCATGAGGCTTAGGAGCATTATAAAGTACACAGCAAATGAAACTGATAATGTAGTTAATGCACTGATAATCAAAACATCATATAGGTCATGCAAAATCGTCCTTCCAATATACCCACCTATAAGCATCTATTAAACAATCAGTCATCTTGTAAAAAGCTTTACATTATAAAGCAAAATTACATGCACATAAAACACCCAATTTACTCATTTCAACTCTATGCCCAAGGCTCAAGTTCACCAAACCTCAGTTTGGAAACGCACAGAGCAGTCTCCACTGGGCCTGCTGGACTGACAGCACAGGACCTAACTACGGTCTCAACAGATGCCAGGCTGAAGAGTTTTCTTCTGAGTTACACATTTTTAAAATCCATTTTCGTGGAACGTCCGGTTGGCACACAGAAAGCAGGCTGCTTTCTCAAAAACCCCATTTCCCTGTCCATAAACTAAGTCCGCACGTGATAATTACTGAATAAAACAGCGAATTCAGACACAGCCATTATTTCCCTTTAAAAGAAAAAGCAAAGCACGAAATTCCGGTTTCAAGAACCTATTTCTCGGCAATGTGGGATCCTTCTCAACGAGTTCCTGGCTGGACGGCCTCCCTCGCCCCCACAGAACCCCATAATCCCATTTTCAGAGACTGTGCCCTTATCCATTCCATATGGCCGGCACGATCCAGGCCAAGCTTTCACTGTGACCTTTTAAAGAGACAAAGAAGCAAAGTACTATCTAGAAACAGAAACACTGCAGTTTTACTGAGTGAAATTAGCAAAACCGACCTGAAACTCACCACTTCAAAACTTGACAGCATATAAATAACAAAAACAAAGGAGATTTCCTTTGCAGCCCGGGTTCTTGAAGAGAAGTTCAAGACTGATGTTTTCTGTCCCTTTTTTTTTTTTTTAATTA